CCCCAGATGTGAGGAAATAGGCCAGCAACAAACCCCACTGAATGCCCCAGCCCCTATGCCTGGTTCCTGGAGAGGAATGCACCAGACATGGGGCCCCTTGTTGGGAAACAATGAAAGAAATAGACCCCAGGATGTGTCCTTGGCCCCTGCTCTGAGAGGCATGTCCTACAGAGGTAGAAGGCGGTTTCCATCACTAGATCTGCTGGGGCCTTGAGTCAGCGGGGTGACCACCTGCAGGGCAGGCAGGATGAGGCCTCCCCACTTCCCTCCAGGCCCTCTTTGGGGGCACCTAGAGACCTGCATCAGCAGGAACTTTCCCACAGTCAGAGCCCAGAGCCCTGAGGTCTGTGGGGCCTGCCCTCCACCCCCAGGAACCAGGGGTCTTTGGCCCTACCTGGGTGTGGTTCGGTTCCTCCCCGACCTGCTCCCACTCTTGCCCCTTCCAGGACCTCCGAGAGGCCACCTGAGCCACTCTACCTGTTGGCCACCAGTCACCCTGCTCTCCTGCTAAGTCAGGGGATTCGCCTGGTGTGGTTGGCAGACAGCCGCCCAAAGGAGGGGGAGAGAGAGGCTCGTACACCTCCCGCCCCCTCGGGGACCCTTTCCCATATGGCCAGGCTGCTTCTCCATCCATTCCCTGTGTCCTTCCCTCCTGAAGCAGCTCCCCTCTGGGAGGAGTCAGGCCTCGGCCCTGGAACTGGAGCCCCCACCCTGGGCAGTCTCCTTGTCAGTCAGACCTGGGGGCACAGGAGCACAAATAGGTATACAGGTGACCCGGCCCACTGCCACCAGGGCAGGGGTCGGCTGGGGGCATGGAGCAGCCCAGCTGGCCTGCCCTTCCTCCCTTCAGTGCCATCTCAACCCTAGGGCAGCCCTCCATCTGCTGCACCTCATGGCAATCCAGATCACTGGACCATGCTTGCAGAGTTGCCCAGAACATTTGCGCATTGGTCCTTGGAGAGGTTAAAAGAGGGGTGATGTGAAGGACAGCAGCAGCAGGG